AAAGTATGGGACCAACAGTTAGCGTAATGGCTATGTCGCTGGACTCCCATGTAGTCGACCGTGGTTCGAGTCCCAGAACCAGTGGCTTAAACTCATGCTGGGCGTGTGTGCGTGCATTCCCAAGATACCGAAAAGAGAAAGGAGGAGAAGGGATTGCGGCGTGGCCATCCCCCCTGGGGGGGGGGTGATTTCTCACTCTCTGTCTCTCTGGTGAGCACATGTACCCTATAGTAAACAAAACAAAACAAAAACAAACAAAAACTCTCAAACAAATTTTAAAAAAAAAGAAGGAGGAAAAATTTTAAAAAGTAAAAAAGAATGGACAGATTGTAGCACTTGGTCGCCGCTCTTCAATGGAACTGACCCATCATTTACTCATCTAAACCCCAGAGTTATTGTGGATTACTGAATGTTAGAAAAAGTACTGTTATAACATTTGTTATGTATATTTCCCCTACATTTTATAGAAAATTGACTTTGACTTTTTGAAACTATCATGAGAAATTTATGACCCTTGATTTTTTATCAGTTTTTTTTTAATTACCCCTCAAAAGTTACTGAAAAAATTTTATTCTTTGTATTAGCATGTTTGATCACTAAAGTATGTCAAGTTGCTATCTATGTTGAGGCAAGAAAACATATATACTTTTGCATTATTTTAATTATCAGCTAGTAAATAAAATATCTAATTTAAGGAAATTTGATATACAGAGATCATCGTATGAAATGGATAATTTTGAAGATGATTATCACTTTGAAAAATAATTCATTTTACAAAATAATTCGTCACCAATTTTTTTTCTACATAACTAGTTTACCTACTGGAGTTAATATAGATTACCTTACACCGGAAGTTTTAGGAATATTTATACACAGTGAGGCACATGTTTATGCCAAATCTTCTTGTAAATGGGGTTCCCAAAACACACTCGTAATTAGTAAGCGAAGCAATGATGACCTCTTGTCTACTGAACTGAATTTTAAAGATACTCTTTTATCCAATTCAGACAAAAACATTTTTAAAAAATTTTTCTTTTTAAGATCGAAAGGGCTTAAAGGATAAACATTATACACATGGAAGATGATTTCAAATTTCTCTTTGACATTTAGGAATTTCTGTGGATAGAAAAATGAACAGCAGTGGAAAGAAACTCCAAATTACTCACTTGAAGACCTCAGAGAAGCATCACCTCATTGCTTGCAATCTTGCTGCTATTTTATGTTTTCTTATTCTATGCCTACTGTTCATCGCACTCATGTGATATAAACTCACTGCATGTTGGGTGCAATATTGGATTCTACATAAGGTCACTGCATGTTGGGTGCAATATTGGGTTCTAGGACATCTGGTACTAATAATATCCTAAACTTTGTTAATACTCATAAACCCATCTGTCAGTGACACCAAGTGTTATTAGAAGCATCATTTCAGGACACTGGAAAGGAGGGTGTTACCTAAAGGAGGGTGTTACCTGCTCCAAATAAATCAATCAGCATGTTCACCTGTAAAACGACAACACCTAACACCTGATGTAAATGAACTGCTGAGAACAGAAGTTTTTGTTGATGTCATTGTTGATGGTGTTTAAAATAACAGAATTTGAAGTTAAATTCTGATAAAGCATATTTAAAAATAATGGATAGGTCTTCACTTTGAGAAAGAAAACACACAGAAGAGTTTTATATATATATATATAATGATTCTTCTACTAGTGTATGCCTGACTTAGAAAAATGTGGGCATTTTGGTAGCCTTAGGGTTGATTCTCAGGACAAAACCAAATTTAGGGGTGAGCAGGAGCTTAGTGCCCCAGGATTTTCTGAAAATTGAAATGTAATTTTCGAGTTAATTTCTGAGATCCCATACTTTTTTAAAATCTACTTTTATGATGTAATTGTGTCTAATGAATCAAATACAGCATACTTTTTGCACCTTGCTGTTCCTTTAAAACAAGGGACACATTCTTACGGGGGTAACTAACATCATTCTGTTTCTATAGGAGTTCAGAACTGGTAATAGTAATCCATTTATAGGCACTGTTTTCTGGCTTGGCTGGCTTATGTTCTGGGAGGCAGTGGAGTATAGTGATTAAGGGCAAGTCCCCGAAGGACACATCGCAGCTCCATCACTATGTTACCATAGCCAGGGTAGGACTTGTCTCGGTTTCTTTATCTGTAAAATGGGGATAAGGCCAGTAGCTAATTCTGAGAGGTGTTAATAAACAGTACATATGTTTTAATAGATATAAAGCACAAAGAACAGTGGCTATCATTGTCACTTCTGTTAGTTCTTACCTTCGATGTGTGGTAATCAGGAACTGGGTTTCATAACGTTATGTAGTTTTTGGTCAATACTTAATCATATACCATTTCTCTAGCCCACAGAGGGAATTTTTAAAGTAAAATAAATTTAGCCTTTGTTTATTAATTTAAAATATATGCTAGTTGCATGTGGTAAGAAAAGTTTCTATAATGGCTTAAACAGACACAAATAATCTAACTTAAACTTTAAGCGGTTTCTGGTATAATTTTTATATCAGGTGAGAACACTTATATAGTTCAGTAAATTCAGGTAATATAAGCTAGACTATCTTGCAAACAACAAAAGATCAAGAAGTTAAATAAGAATAATGTTCCTTAAGGGAAAATAACATTTCTACATCTACTAATAAAATTGGTAATTATATTTGAGTGATTTTAAAAAAATGTATACCAGTCACTGGCGGTAAAAAAAGAGGAAACTAGTTTTTTGCCCTTCTTTTGAGTTGACAACAATATTGCACTCATTGAAAATATAGTAATTCTAGCTAGTAGATGGTGTGGAGGTTAAAGTGCTGGATCCTATATGGACAACTGCCTGGTTAGACTCCCCGACCCAGGGGCTTGAAAATCACACCAGGTATGTGCATTCACACCCAGAATTCTGAGAAGAGACTGGAGGAGTGGGAGGGGAATTTCTTATTTTGCCTCTTTCTCTCTCTCTAGTGAGCACACACACACCCTATAGCAAAAACTAAAACAAACAAAAAAACTGTAATTCAACTTTGCTTAAATGTGGATTATTAGAATTAGCTAATTTTCACCTCAAGGGACCAGTAGTCGGCATGACGGCTATGTCACTGGACTCTCATGTAGTTGTAGTTTGCAGTCAATACTTAATCATATACCATTTCTCTAGCCCACAGAGGGAATTTTTAAAGTAAAATAAATTTAGCCTCTGTCTATTAATTAAAAATATATGCTAATTGCATGTGGTAAGAAAAGTTTCTATAATGGCTTAAGAGTGCACATGCACCCTATAGCAAAAAACTCTCCAAGAAATTTTTTTTCACCTCGATATTATAAATATGTAATCACATGGCTTTGTTTAAGGTGCTTAGACTATTCTAATTGTTCATTATTTTTTTTCCTGTAACTCAGAACTTTTGCCAGATTCTTAAAATGCAGTTATTCATGAAGGCTTACATTTATATTGATCAGCAATTGAGCCTGGAATGGTTAATTATTATTATTATTTTTTAAAGAGGGGCCAGTAGGTGACATGGTGGTTAAGGAGTTGGACTTCCACATGACCAACTGCAATTTGAGTCCCAGACCTGGTGTCTTCAAAATCATACTGGACACTTGTGCATGCAAGCCCAGAATCCCAGGGGCAGAGTGGAAGGGAAAAGGCCCATTCCCCTTAGGGGGTGATTTCTCACCTCACTTTCTCTCTCACTGTCTCTCTCTGGTGAACGTATGCTCCCTATGGCAAAAATAAAAATAAATAAAAAATTAAAAAAAAACCCACCTCATCTGCCACCAAAATTTATTAAGACAAGCATTTCCTTTACTTAATGAAAGGAAATAGAGAAACTACCTAAAACTCTATGAAATAAACCCAACTTTCATAAACCCAACTTTCATTTTAAGAGTTGATTATGACCAAACTCCATGATAAGACTTTGCCGATTTAATTATGTGCTATTGTTATTTACATATTCTTAAGAAATAATTTGGTAATACTTGTGTTTTGAAGCCAAACAGTAGAACTGGATGAAAAGTCCTTGCTTAGTAATCCTCTCTAGAGATGCTAAAAAATTATGAAAGCTCTAGTAGTTCAGCTACATTGCTTTTTGCATATAAAAAAATCTATCATAGGAGTCAACTACCACAGGAAATAAATTGCATTTGTTTTAATTTAAAAAGATAGCTAAAAATTTTCTGTGGGCTATTGCAACAGTACAAGAATACAAGGTGCATTTATTTATTAACAACAACAACAACAGAAAAACCTCTAAAACAAATTGTGAAAGCAAAAGCAGGCTACAAAACAGGAGGGTTTTTGCTAGCCTTTGCCTTAAACATGTTACAAGTGAATATGCCACCGTTGATAAATGCTAGAAAGTGTAAGTTAACACTTGCTAATTTAATTTTAAACACTTCCCTCCCACCCAGAACATTAAGGGAAATTTGTATATGTACGGTAAGCTCTTCCTCTTTCAAGTATCACAACCTCGTTGTCACATAATCTTCATGAGTGGCTGAGTCTGTGAGGCTTAAATCGTAGTCTGTACCGGAGTCCTCCTCCTTCGCATGTTTTTCCTTTGGTATTATAGGAACAGTGTCTTCCACCACCACCTTCTCGGACTTGAAGGAACACACTCGCTTGCCGACCTGGACGCCCAGCGTGTCCGTATTCCTTTCTCTATGGTCCACTAGCACACACTGTTCGCTGAGACCGGGAATGCTCGCGTCACCTCGGGACGCTAATCCTCGAGTTTCCAGTTGAATATTTCTCTCGGGGGGTCCTGCAGCCTGTTGACGAGAAACTTCTTCTGACACAGAGAAGATTTGGTTTGCACTTTGCTCCGCAGCGCTCTGTTTTGAACGTCTGTGAAATAACCCAAAGTTTTTGATGTCGGTCACAAAATTCACTTTTCTCTGCTTTTCCCTGGGTGGCTCCTGCACCACGAGAGCGGAGCCATTGCTTATGTTGTGTCGTTCAGAGGCGATGGCTGCCGATCGTGGGTGAATAAGAGTGGTTAAGTCAAAAAGACTGAAATTCTTCTTCTTGTCTTTGCTACCTCCTTCGTTGTCACTCTTTTCATCGGAGTCTGCTGAATTAGAAGAGTCCTTGGAAGTGTTACCAGACTGGATTGTAGAAAGTTTGCTTCCTTTTAGTAATCCCAGGACTTCAAAGCGGAAACTAGAAATGTCTTGCTTTAGTTCCTAAATAAAATGTAGAATGACAGCAAAGATTATAACTTAAACAAACACTGGGAAATATTATCTGTCATTTCCGCAATGGGTCGCCGTTTCCACTACTTTTGAACAACTAGGAAATCTATTGTGGTTCTCTAGTACCCCAGTTCTCTGACACGTGGCGTCATTTTGATGTTAATTTCCCTATTGAAGTTTTATAATAAAAAAGCAAACGTCTTAAAATTGATGTGAAAAGATATCAGAGGAATGATCTCTTCCACCAATATGAGTCAAGTTTGTGGATAAATAAAGTATGAATTTATTTTGGTTCAAAAATTTTGAAATCTATTCACAGTTTTTTCATAATATGAATTTTCCATGACTTTTCGGAAGACCATTCACACATTGGATTTCTTTCAGATAACAGTTTCCCATGCTTTCTTTCCAAAATATTCATCTGCTCTTAAGTCATCTCAGGCTCAGGGATTTATTTCATGGGATTCGTATTATTGGCACATCTTTCTGTCCAAATGTATATCTAAAGCAAATAGTTCAAGTGGAGCCCTCCTTTCCAAGAGTAGGCAATTACTTTCACTTGTTTCCTACCTTGGGGATGACCTTACACCCACATCGAGGTCAAACACTGCATCCTGACAATTGCTTTGGGTCAGACAGCAATTCTGAGATTCATCTTATTAGCTTGTACTTTTAAGAAATTGAATTCACAGTCCCAACTAATGATGGCCATGCTGTCTTCCTAAACCTATCTCCCAAAGCAAGATGAATCAGTTAACTTTAAAATTTACGTTTTGTGGTTGCAAAGAACATTTTGAATCATCTTTTTCTTTCTTTCCTTTTTTTCTTTTTAGGTTTTAGCCATTGGTCATGTGCACCCTCTGGAGACTGATGGAGAAAGAGGGAGGGAAAGTGAGAAATCACTATACCTCCAGTCTCCTCTTGGAGATACACACACTTGGAGAAAATCACACGTGTGCCCATTGTGATTTTCAAGTCACTGAGTCAGAGATTTGAACCATGGTCAGCCTTGTAAAAATCCAGTGCCTAAGCACTTTTCAATATGTGATTGAATTTTGAAAATTTATCCTCTTAACTAATTGGCTGTTTTATTCTCTTGCTCAAGCCTGCTGCTTTTCTCTGTTAGTCTCTTACAGGACTTTTTCTTTTTTAGGGTTTGTTTTTACCTGCAAGATCTCATTGACTTAATCAAAATCACGTTCACAATCTCTAAACACTCATGCAGAATAACAAAGTATTTTAAACATGCAACTCAAACATGATATTTCATATATTCTACCTATTCACTCTGACAGAATTATAAAAAAAATACTCAAGGAGAAATTTAATAAGTGTATGTTACAATTAAATTCAAACTTCAATTGTCTGCCACCAAAGATTTGCAGAGCACACACAAAGTTTTTGCTGTTGTTCATGTGTCAGATACTAAATGTTTCAGATGTAGAAATTGGGTTGAAATTACAAAAAACTAAAGTTTGCCAAATAGTGGCATGCCCAGTTCGGTGAGTCAGAATGCTGTGAGGCGCTAGGGTTTCTCTGCCTCCAACCATGTCCCCTTGCCATTTTAGAGTAAGTATGTTTGAAAACAACTCATTGTGAGATAATATTTCATCACTTTGTTTTTAATGGGACTTTGAAAATCAGAAGGTACACAGGCTTGCTAAGCACATGGCTGATTTTCAGTGTGCCATGTCTCTGTACTCTGCAGAATTTGTCTCTTGTGATTAAGATGGAAATGGTTACCTTAAAGTTCTCTTCAGTCAGGCCTTCTTCTGTTTTAGCATCTCTAATCATTGCGGCGACATATCGCTTCACCAGGTTCCTCATAACTTCCTGAGGCATTTTAGAACAATATGGATATTCAGTGCGTAAATATGATTTCTCTTCTGAGTCATTTCTGAAGAAGGGACTGTATTTTATTTTAATGAAAATTTCAAAATATAATAGAAGGATGACTTACTTGGTATTGGTGATGTCTTCTCAAATTATCAGCAGCTCGCCTCTGAAAGGAAAGAAACATTCTTTTTTGGTTATATTGATATATTACCATGCTGAAAAATAACTCATTTTTGTTTGTTTGTTTGAGAAAGATTGTTGCTATAGGGCATGTGTGCTCACCAGAGAGACAGACAGAAAGAGAAATCGCCCCTCAGGGGGCACAGCCACACTTCAGTCCTTTCTTCTTTATTCTCCTCTCGGGATTTCAGGCATGCGTGCGTGCGCACACACACACACACACACACACACACCCCTGGCATGAATTTTAAGTTGCTTGGTCCTGGACTCAATCTACTACGAGGCTGACTATGTGGGAGTCCAGTGACATAACCATTATGCCATCTGCTGGCCCCGTAACTCATTGCTTTCTTAATGAAGACTGTTATTCTTTTCATTTCCCCAAAGTGAAAGTTTTACTAGACAGTGGACAATGGCAACAGAATGCATCACATGCAGCAAAAGAATAAGTGAACAAAAACATAAGCTGCAAATGTATGATCTGTATGACACGTAATACAGTCATATACTTGCATAACATATGTAACATAGTATAACAATGAAAATGCTCTAATATAGGACATAGGGTGACGTAGAATTAGTTCATAAAAGTTGATCGATACCCAGAACCACTTGAAATGATGCCAAGAGACAGAGTTAGGACACAAAATAAAAATTAAAAGTCTTTAGAAATGTTAACATAGCAAAATTATGAAGTTACTCACATGGGCCAGCAGGTGGCATAGAGGTTAAAGTAGCTGGATCCCATATGGGCAACTCCTTGGTTCGAGTCCTATACATGGTAGCTTGAAAATCATGCCAGGTGTGTATATGTGTGTGCCCCAAATCCTGAGAGCAGATTGGAAGACAAAGGATTGCAGCATGGCCATCACCCCCAGAGGTGATTTGTCTCTCTGTGTGTCTCTCTCCAGTGAGTGCATATGCCCTAGAGCAAAAACTAAAAAAAAAATAAATAAAAATAATAAAATTTAAAAAGAAAAGTTTGTCACATTATGTAACATGTACTCTGTAACCTCATAATATGATGAACTCTCCAATGCTAATTTCAATCATATGCATAGGTAATTCCTGTTTTGATTAGAAGATTGGATTTAACAAATACATATAAGATTCTATTGCTACAGGGACCAGCAGATAGCATAATGTTACATCACTAGGCTCCCACATAGTTGACTGCAGTTCAAGTCCTAGACTGAGCAGCTTAAAACTCACGCCAGGTGAGTGTGCATACATGCCCAAAATTCCAAGAGATGAATGGAGTAGAGATTGTGGTGTGGTCATCCCGGTAAGGGGATAATTTCTTGCTTTCTGTCTCTCTGTCTCTCTGGCAAGCACATATGCCCTATAGCAAAAATTTCTCTTAAAAAAGAAAAGATTCTGTTGCTACATAGCATTAACTAATAATTTCTAAAAATAAGAGTGATTCTCAGTTATCATTTTGAAGCAATCAGAATGGAATGGGAGTAGAGGTTGGGTTAGCACAGTGCAAGAATTTTTAAGTGATGAATGGAGGAAAAGGCTGTTTATAAATTGAGTTAAATAACAAATGAGAACCCAGTATTTAAGGCACAGTTGGTAGTGTACAGAACCATAGTGACCCGAAACATGCTGGGCTTGCACAGGAGTGCCCCAAATCCTGGTGAGCTGGAGAGCTGGGATGATTGTGGCATGAACAGATGACGACGCTTCAGTGCTTCTCTCTCTCTCACACATACACATGTACATATTCTGTTTTATTAATAAAATAAAACTTTATAAAGCAAAATAAATGACACTAAAACTAAATATTTGCAAATTTCATAAGTATTCTACAGATATTTTTAAAAAGCTATCACAACTCCCAATTGTATGCCTTTGAGTAAATATCACCACTGATTATTAAGGAAAAAAACAACAGGTCAAACCCAAATATTTTAACCTAAAGTAAAATATTTCTTTAACTGGCCCAGCAGCCACGGCGCAGGCAAAGGAGGGCTGCCGTGCATGATGCTAGAGGCCATAAGGGAAGGCTCTAGGTCTGCATTCCAGGTCTACCTGAGCACTCTGGGAGGGCCCGTGGGATACGGGACAGCAGGAGGAGTGTAGTATGAAGATCCTCTCGAGGGTGCCTGTCTCTCCCTGTCAATCTCCTTCTCTCTTTCTCTCAAGAAATAAATGAGTAAACTTTAAAACAGTGGGTCCCCAAACTTCCTGGTCCCAAGGACCAGCCTCATAGAAGACAGGGAAGGGTAAGGGAGGTGAGGATTGGTCCTGGGATGACCCCAGCACACCACATCCACCATGGACCCCATTTCCACTACTACCACATTGCAACCTATAATGAAACAATCCCACAACAATAAGGTTTCCAGTCCCATGAAAATCCAATACCACCACTGATTGGACAGGAGGTGGCTCCCAGGAGGTAATGTGAGTGGTGGGGAGAAGTGGCTGTATACGCAGAGGTAGCCTCGCTCGTCCACCACCCCCAGCTTCTGTGCAGGGAGAGGTGGTAGGGGTGGGGTAGGAGAGGATTGGGGCCCCAACAGGCCATAGACCAACCCTGTCCAGCCTGAGGGTGGGGACCACTGCCTTAAAACATATTCCTTTTATAAAGAATTACTTAGGTAATTTTTGAGAAAGCAAAAGAGATGGCATATTTTGGGTTTAAATAAACCTTTTGATCTTGCTCCTTACTAAATACTTAATCATTGGCTGACAAAATGGAATTTTGAAACGAGTTTTTCATGTATCACTATAAAATGGTATTTTTAAAAATATCAAAGTGTTTAAAATAAACTCTGTTTTGCTCTTCATAGAAATGGGGGAAAATGTTATTTCCAGTGGCTAGTGCAGTGGGTTCATGTTTTGTGATTGGTAGTGATTTATAGGGACAGATAAGCAAGGGCTTAGCTTCCTTAAGTCCACTAATTATTTTGAATTTCATTTACTTTTAAATGATTAATATATTTTGAGAGATAAATTTTCAGTATGGTTAGATATTAATTTTAAAGCTATGTAATTTGATCTCCACCAAGGTATACAATAATTAAAAATCAGAAGTGACAGTAAATTAAAAAAAAAAACCCTAGCAAATCTGAAACTTAATACAAACTTACAACATCTGTAGAAAAGCACAGTATGAGAATTTTATAAGTAGGCCACCAGATGGAGGTGTCTGATTCCTGTTGAGACATAGCCCAGCTGATAGTCAAGACAAAAAAGCACTTCTAGAAGGAAATATAAACCTTCTGGATCTCCTTAAACTTACTTAAGGGGAGCAAAAATATGTACCAAGTTCTTCAACATTCTCTCTGGAAATATGCAGGAGGGCTGTTTTCCATAATATAAGTAGATAGAAATTCCTAATTCAATATAGAAAGAATTCAGTCTACTCAACTTTTACTGTTTCGGGTTTCATAGCATATTACTATTCTGTATTGAAATCTTTTTAAAATCTAATAAAAAGTGTCCAACAGAGAACAGTTTGAAATCATGACTTAAAGGGGAGGGTTTAGGGAAGGATGAGGATAATTTGGCTAACAAAGTCCCAAAGAGTGGAATGAGTTCTAGAGTGTTACAGCACAATAGGGTAACTATAGTTGGTGACAGTATCATGTATATTTCAAACTAAACAGAAGAGAAGATTTCAAATGTTCATAATGCATAGTACTGCTAAACATTGAGAAGGGCGGTATGTTTAATGTCTTGATTTGATCATTACACATTTTGTTCATATGTGGAAAAATCACACTGTACCCCATAAATATGTACCATTATATATCAACTAAAATTATAGCAAAAATAAACATATTTCTTTAACACCAAAACAAAATTTAACACGACAAAATCAGAAAATTATGAGTAGTACATGAAAATGGTCATGACACATTTTAGTAGTAAAATGACAAGCTTTTTTCCTTTGTAAAAATTTACTCATATAAAAATTTTAAACTTCAATACAAATATAAAAGAATCCAAGACCAAGTTTTAAATAATAATTCTAGATTTATTTTTCTTGAGGAAGTTTTTTTTTTTAAAAAAATGAAGTTCTTCAGAAAGAAGAACATAAAAAAATTATCATCATACTTTTAGGAGTTACTCAATTTCTGTATTTGAGGTTTAAGGCTAATGTAGTTAATCATTTTTGCAAACTGATTATTTTCTGTATCTACATGCTAATACTAAAAAAACATTTCTAGTGCTGAGAGACTGTGTCAGCAAATTGAACTTTAACATTCTGACTGGAAAAATAAAAATGGAGGAAGTGAACCATCTTATGAATACTGAAAACAAACATGACTGCAGTGCGCTCATCATACTGGACTGAAATTCTGCAGTTTCTATGTCCTTCATCTGTTTAATTTATATTTCTTTGGCTAGCACAACAGGATCAATTATTGTTTTCGTGACTACTATCCTATGCTTACCTATTTCTCCTCTTGTTTTCTGGAAGATAGGGTGGTGTGGGATTAAGAACATGGATTTAAGGATTATAACACTGTTTGAAATTGACTGAGCCCAAGCCGAGAATTTATCTCTGAGGCCCTTTTTCTTCCACAGGTTTTTGTTTTGCAAGGTGAACATAAACACACTGGGTAATTTTGAAGATTAAATAAGATAAGAGATTTAAGGCATCTATCACTAACGTTATTTTCCATTATCTTTATATATTTAATTAATAATGGGATTTAACAAACTTTTCTCTTGATCTTGAATTACCAAACTTGTGCATAATGTGACACATATAAGGGTAATCTTTGAGGAAGTAAAATAACTTACCTAGATGTTTCTTTTTGTGTGATTTGTATAATATTTCATGCTTGTGGAGTTAAATAGTCAGATGCTGTTAGCTTTGGTAGTAGAAAGGTGTAAAAATATGACATTAGCATTTAAGTGATAGAATGAGAAGATGGTTTGGAAAAGTGGATATAGCTCTAATGGATCCTGCAGGCAGTTGGTTATGGGGGGAAACAAAAGTTTTATAAATATCTCTGCATAGCATTG